TCTTTTCCCGTGTAAGATTGAGAGTATCTTGGCAACGTTTCGACGAGGTCCCACTCGCCATCTTCAGGCTGGTGCTTTCGGCTTTGTGCTTGTGCGAGCAAAGTGTGATCGGAGCTGCCATCTCCCTATATATACTGGTGGGGAGGTTGGCTGTGTTGTCATTTCTTGATTGGTTGATGGAGTTGATGTTTGCAGATTGGCTGGCTTTTTCGTAAGAACATGAGGTATTGGATGTGTGTCTATCAACCTCCTGTGTTGTAACGACCTGGGTAATGGGCTGTGTGACGACTTTCTGAGTTCTGTTGTTTTGACATCCTGGGTCTTGTGCTGTAATCTCCTGGGCCATTGGCTGTGTTGCAACATCCTGAGGTTTTGTGGTGTAACTTCCTAGACCCAGGATATCACAACAATAGAACTCAGAAGGTCATCACACAGCCCATGACCTAGGTCATTACGACCCAGGAGATTACAGCACAAGACCCAGGATGTCAAAACAATAGAACTCAGAAGGTCATCACACAGCTCATTACCCAGGTTGTTACAACACAGGAGGCTGATAGACACACAGCCAATACCTCAGCCACACATGTTCTTACGAAAAAGCCAGCCAATCTGCAAACATCAACTCCATCAATCAATCAAGAAATGACAACACAGCCAACCTCCCCACCAGTATATATAGGGAGACGGTAGCTCCGATCACGCTTTGCTCGCACAAGCACGAAGCCGAAAGCACCGGCCTGAAGATGGCGAGTAGGACCTTGTCGAAACGTTGCCAAGATACTTTCAATCTTACACAGGAAAAGACCCGAACATGCCAAGACCTGCATACCTGTACCCGTGAAAATCTATGAAAACATATGTGTGTGTGTGTGTGTGTGTGTGTGTGTGTGTCTGTGTGTGTATTTTTATCTTGTGTGTTTTCTAAGGCACATTTTTAATGTCTAATTTTGTTTTCTTTTTGTAAAATTTCTTTCTTTTTTCTTTTTTGGAATTTGTATTTTAACTTTCTGAATAAAATAAAAAATGATTGTGAAAGAAAGCAAACATGGTGGTCATTAAATGAATCATTGTTCACTATGTGTCGGTTTTTGTCATAACCCACAATAAAACACTGGTTTCTGGTAAAGATGTCATAAATTATAGTCATTTGACTGTGGGGTGCTGTAAATGCCCAAAATTCATTCAAATGACTGCATTGGGGGGTGGGGAGACAGCAGAATTTTGAAACTGAATTGTAATTAGCTTTTTGTGGGGTGGGAGTGTTCATTGCAATTCTGAACAGTCTCTAAGCATCCAGTCATAAGTGAAGAACAACTTATATTAAAAGACGACCAGTGAGATTTTAAAACTGAAAGAAAAAAAACCCATCAATTTGTGCTATGCTGGTGACACTATTATGATAGCTGAAAATGTAATTGAACTGCAAATTCTAGCTATAAAAGGAATACAGTGCAAAAATGGGACTACAATTAAATACCAAGAAGACCAAACTAATGAGAAAAAAGTATTAAATTGATAATAATCCTTAGTATAAAGATGGGTAGCTTATCTATACAGGACTCAGGGGTAATGTTGCAGGGCACTTGGTGGATCAGACTGAAGCAAGCACTGGGTGAAACTATAGCCAAGCTTAAATCGGGAATAGATGAAAATGCATAGTTTGTGATTCAGTTTGTTGTGGAAAGTCAGCCTTCTCTTAGCATGGTATATAAACTAGGATATCATGATATGCCACAATCTTATTTTTTCTGGACATAGTATGTTGCATGAACACAGAACTTAATTCGTTTTGATTTAGGGTTTAGCATGGTTATGATTCCAGCCATATTGTATTTTAAACCCAGTGTTCTCTTTTGTGGTTGTTATTGTTCTCTTCTTTTTCTCCTATGCAGCAGGCTGCAGGAAAAGACAGATACATCTTATCAAAGATCTAAACTGATTTCTTGCTGAACATGTTTTTAAAAATTAGGCTGACGGCTCTTACAGCCCTATGAACAGAAGTAGCCTATATCTGCCATAGCAGCTTATTTTCTTATTGCTCTTCCTATGCCATTCCTAAGAGGAAAATAACAGATAGGAGGAGGGCAAGAAGATAAAAGGAAATGATTGGGGGGAAGCAGTTAAAGGTGATGAGCGAAATATATAGCAGGTTGAAAATAAGAGACAAATAAAATCCTTTTCAGAGACAAACCAGCTTACAAAGATCTATTCTTAAAATGTGTGTAGAAAATAAAAAAGAAGGGCTCATGCTGCAGAAAATCTGATCAAAATGCCTTATGTTCTTTTTAGATTCATGTAAACAGCATCCCATTTCTATCAGTTCTGAAAAGGAAAATTCATCGCCAAACACGTTTTTCCCATTACCTTTTTCCAGTTCCACAGGAAAGAGATCCAGCCTTTCCACTCTTTTTTCAAGTTCATACTCTGCTGAGGCAGCCATAGGATCAACATCTTCATTTCGGCGGTCATATTCCTCATTGGAATAAGTGCTAAAAACCTGGAAGTAGATTTTAAAAGATAAGAATGAATAATACAGATGTGAAAATGTTCTGATTTTTAGTAAATGTGGAATTGGTTCTTAAAACCTGGCTCACGGGCCATTGAAATTAATGCTTCTGATAATGTTTATTTATATATTCAATCAATTTGTATGGCCGCCTATCTCACATTTGTGATTTTGGATGATTCACACAAATTAGTAAAATATAATAATCCTCTTTAAAACCAAAAGCTCCATTAAAAACCAAATTAAAAACCAAAAGCCCCATTAAAAACCAAAAACTAGAAAGTGGAAGTCATGGATCAATCAATGTAGCCATCTGATAAGCTGCAAACCATAATTAATTTCCAATATGCAGTTTCCATCATTTGTCAGATTACAGATCATTTTCATTTAGTGACCACAACTAGGACCAGCAATTTGGTCATTAAGTGAAGTGGTCACTCACAAACTAATCTACTAACTGCAACTTTTTGATAAAACGGATAGAATTACAGATGATTGAATGTCTAGAAATGAAAATATTTAATACTCGGGAATGCTGAAGAATTTAATTTCCTTGTATTTCTGTCCAAAAACGTATGTCTAAATTACAGACCCATAGGATTACATTTCAGTATCTCTCCTTTTAGTCACCAAACAAGGGAAAAGGAATTTATTTCAACGTACCTGGATAAGATTAGGTAAAATTTCTCAGTGACAGCTAAAACAAAGAGTGCTTAAAATCTCTTGCCAAATATTTTCTAGAATAGATGAGTCACCTTGATATCACATTGGTGAGTTACAATTCATTGTTAGAGAGGCCATCAGCAATATGAAGGACTAAGAAGAGATATCCAGCTTTACTTTCTGTGTGATCAGTTTCAGTTCTCAGTTCTTACTTCAAATCAGAAGCCATATTTAGATATTTTCTCATGTTTATAGGAGACAGACTTTGTTGCCAGGAGGAATTTATCATGCATCTGTGAAGTTTAAACTTTTTATGCCAGGATCATCCTTTAAATATATTTTTATAATATTTTATTTCTCCGGTAGGCTGCTTTGTGAGTTTGAAAAATTAAAGAGGATGGTATAAATTAAGTAATTTACTAAACTGTAAAAGACCATCCCTTTTTTTGACAGATGTAAGTAGGGATATCAGTTTCATGTGATAAACAAACAAAGCATCATAAATTGATCTAGCAAAATAACTAGCTTAATTTGTATTTGCAAAAATGTTGAGGCGACTGGGACTTCAACAGAAATGCATCAAGAGATTGGTGAAAAATGCAAGGACCTACACTGTCTGTCTCTGTCACTTCACTTGATTTTAACTAGACATAACAATTCTTGCAAGAAAAATCTGTGGGCTTAGTGCAAAAATTGAATGGCTACATAACACTATAATTCTGTGTCCAGCATTTCTGAGAATAATCTCTACTACCTAGAATGTTAAGCTTTATTTTTTTAAAACCTATTTTGTGTCTTAATCTTTTGAGTGAGTCCAGCCTCTTATATTGAATTGAATTGAATACTTTATTTGGCCAAGTGTGATTAAACACATAGGAATTTGTCTCTGGTGAAGAAGCTCTCAATCTATATGCAAAGCAACTGAATAATGATAATAATGAACATTATCATAATACTAATAAAAGGTGGGAGTAAAAAAGATAAGGGTAAATAATACTACCTCCGTATTATATGGATAAATACACAGACATTACACAGCACTGTAAGAATTAGGTGTTTAGCAGAGTGATAGCATGAGGAAAAAACTGTCCTTGTGTCTAGTTGTTTTAGTATGCAATGCCCTGTAGTGCCTTCCTGAGGGAAGGAATTGAAACAGCTTATCGCCAGAATGTGAAGGGTCTTACATATCTTCTCAGCCCTCTTTCTGACCCATGCAATATATAGGTTCTCAGTAGAAGGCAGGCTGGTTTTAAGTGTTTTTTCTGCAGTCCTAACTATTAGTTGAAGTCTGTACCTGTCCTGTTGGTTGCTTACCAAACCAGACAATTATAGAAAGAAGCATAAATGAGAGATTCAATAATTCCTCTGTAAAACTGTATCAAAAGCTCCTGGAGCAGTTTGAACGTCCTGAGTTGAGACAGGAAGAACATTCTTTGTTGTACCTTTTTAATGATGGTTCTAATGTTAAATGTCCATTTCAAGAGAGTTAGTCACTGTATTGCAAAAATGAATCAATTCTGTAATCAACCTAATAAGTCCTTGATGATGTTTGCTTTCAGTTTCAAATTCTTTCCCTTTACCCTTTGACCATTTTTCTATGACAAAATAGAGAATTATGTGACAAAACATTTAAGGTGCGAGATGCGAATAATGAGGACTTGGGTTTAAAACTGCTTTCAGCTATGAAACATCTATGGAATGTAACTTTAGGCCTCTGAGATCAATCTATCTCAACATTGTTGTAAAGAACACTTAAAGGTGGCAAAAGATACCACCATCTTGAACATCTAATGGAAAAAAAATAACAGTTGCTCTATAGATACTCTTAAGCACTTGACAGTGTTTTTCTATATGACTGTAATCCTCAGCAGGACTAGACATACATCCTTCATATAATAAAAAGCTAGTATACAATGATAAGGAGTCCATCTCAAAAACTCTTGAGTATCCATCATTGGTTTCTTTTTTTTTGTCATTTGAACAGTTTTACATAACCCGAAAGCCTTGTGTCACCTGAATAAATGATTTTGTCTGTTTTTGCCAGCAGCCCCTACCTATAAATATGTTGAAATTAACAGTACCTCACTATTTTCTCCATGGCACTGTCATTGGCTGCCAACATTGCCTATTGTTATAAGTAAAGTTGGGAAGTTGTAATGTTGCAAGGAAGAACATGAAACAATTGGACAAGATAATCCATATTTTTTGCTACTATGTTAATTCCAAGTCTTGATTAGATTTTATATCTAAAAGCAAATGGAATTATATCCGGGTTTATACTTAAAGCTAATTGCTGAAATTAATGCACTTGTTCAAAGGATCTGTTTACAGTTTGTAACTCTCTTATTTAAACGATTCTATCTTATGTATAATGAAATGTAGGACCAAAGACTTCTCCAACATAGTTTGGGAGGAGATTCTGTATATACATTATTTAATATTGTAAGCCACCCAGAGTTTTACTCTGTGTTACGTATTCCCTTATTCTGCAATATACAATTATTTAATGTGATGGATCAGCACATAAAACACATACATATGTGCACAAAAACATATACACACTGACCCTATGAGAATTCATACAGAAGCCTGACTCTCCTCCGAATTAGTTCCTGAATTACTTCAAAAGCAGTGTGCCTAAAGCCCTCTGCTACTTTTCTTTCTCTTCTTTCAAGACACTGCTTTATACTTTCTTGTTCTAAGGGATCAGTAATGACCAGATTTGGCATCCATCTGCATATCTACATGTCTCTTATTTATCCATACTCTTCCTTTTGCTTTCCCCTTCCCTTCCTAAATAAGAGGAAAATATTCCGTTCTGTCTTTTCTTGCTCTGATTCTTTATTCTTCCTTTTACTCTTCCTATTCTAAGTCAGAAATGGGCAACTCGCCACTCTTAGAGTTGCTTGTGGTCAGCTGTCAATTTGGAAGCCATTACTTTAGACCTTTAGCAAGAGCAATGTGTTCCTCTTACAACATTCCCTGGCGAGGAAGAAGAAAGAGGGAGGAAAGAAGAGAGAGAGAGAGAGAAGAAGAAGAAGAAAGTCAGAGAGAATGGGATGGCAGAAAGATGGAAAGAAGAGATGGCAGAAAAAAGGGAAAAGATGGGTTATCTCTAGCTCCACCCATTCATGTTTTCAACTCCACCCATTACTGTCATATATTGTTGAAGATACATCCTCTGACAAACCGTTCTCTGCTTATGTTTCAGATATAATGCACTTCTTTTGCCCCACTTCCAATTTTTCACAAAATCTTGACTTAACTGATTCCCCTATTTTAATTTTTCTTGCTGGAGAGAATCATCCCTAGCTCTTTCCACCAGCATTCACAGCAGCAGGTTCAATTCTCTGACGCCCCCACCCTCATTCTCTATCCTGTAATTGAGCCACATAGGCTGTCACAGCCAGTGAAGAAAAGCAAGAGAACAGCACCCCCCCCCCCCCACTTTCCTCCAAACTGCTACAGCATTAATTAAGTTGCCAGGGTAGCCACCTGCTTGCCTTCACCCTGCCGTTCCAGTGCATCTTTGCACCACCTCCAAGGCCTGACTTGTGTGTGGGAAGACACAGAAGTTTGGGGAAATGTTCATCTCCCCACCACAGCCATACTAGATTTAACAAAACCTTTTTTTTTGCATCTCTTCAATGCAGAAATACTATACTAAGTGGACCTGCCAAGAAAAAAAATCATCTGTACAGAGAGAGAAACAATAAAGAAAGGTCTTAGCAGTGGGGAGAAAAATATATTTAGCTGTGTTTTCCATAGTTCTTTTCTTTCTACTCTGCTGAAAATTATTATTTCTTAACAAAAACCTTCCAAAATGTTATTTCCCACCCCGCCCCCATTCTCCCACAACATCCTCCTCTTTATATGTATGTAGTTAGGAAGGAATATTTCCTCTAATCAGAAGAGATGGGTATACACTGGGCACTAGGCCATCAATTGTTTTCTTTTGGCCTAACATGATGGGTGACCCTGACCAATGTGATTTGGCAGGGATTGAGAACCTGGAAGTAGGAAGCCTCCTGTAGATTCTGCCTGCTTTTCTACAGCCACCCAAATTCAGGGATTCTGTAAATTCTCAATTGATTTAATCTACTGATATTGGTTGAAGAAAAGAAAGTTTTGTTTCCATATAACCTACACAAATCCTTAGAGGCCATCAGCAAAATTCCCTCCAAATGGAGTTCTTCTTATGTTGATAATCTTCTGGGGAACGTATCAAGCACCAGCAGCATGAGGAAAGCAGTCGCTTTATATTCTGTTCTGAGCAGCCTAAAAGCTACCATTTAAACCATTCCCTGGAACTGTAAGCATTTAAAATA